TATATATATATATATATATATATATATATACATATAATGAAAGGATTATATTTTTTTTTTCCGATTTCTTTAAATAAAATTTTCATCCCTTTTTTTTTAAAATCGGTTTGTTATTTTTTAATTATTATTTCTGCCCCCCCTTTTTTTCATTTGTCTATGATTTTTCTTTGCTTTATCTATATTCATTTTGGAGTACTTCAATTATCTATCATCATTCATCTTCATTTATCTATTTTGATTTTAGTAAAATTTAGGTAATTTTATCACGATATCTGTTAAAACATGGCATAAAACCATAAATTCAAATTTGCACTTAATTCTTCAGTTTTGTATTTCTTACTAAATGTATGGTAATAAGAATTTTGAAAACCAGACTTTCCCCTAAACCCTTATCTCATGAATGGAAAAATTACCAAAAGAATTATTCAAAAACCATACATTTTGGTTTTTATTACCGAAATTATAGTATAGTATTTACCAGAAATGTTGTAACCATACAGTACGGTAATTTTACCAGAATTTTTCTCCATATATGCATATATAAAGCTTCATATTAAGACGGAAATTAAAATTACATTTATTCATTTTGCAATGATAGTTTCTTTTTATTTCACAACAGTATTATACTTATACTTAACAAATCAGTATAATCATCTTTGGTACATCAATATAATTTAATTTCATCATTGTTGCAGAAAATATGCGGGAAATGAATTCATTCTACTCATATTCATTCACTTCTACTCATATTCATATTCATTCAGAAATACTCTATGTTTATTTAAGATTTTAAAAATATCAACGTGTTAGAAACCATAAATTTTGGTAACTAACGCTAAAACTGTCATCTCCCTCCTGGCAATGAATTTTTTCCCTCTATTATCAAACAGATGTATGGCCCGTGAGACTTACAAATGGAACATTTAGATTATGATATCTTCATAAATTTAACAATAAGTATAAATGAAGTTTTTTTAACTTTTTACATCCCTCTTTTTGTTTACAGCTCCAAATTTAGCAGGAAGTTACGCTTCGTGAATAGTTTGCAAGAGCTAGAAGAGTTGATTCCTATGGACCACGTCTGTATTCCAGACAAAGTCAAAGAGTAAGTATTGACTAATAAAGAAATTATTCTAATAAAATATGCCTTATTTTACGTTTTTTATTCTAAAATTGCAGCTAATGAAAGGTGGCCAAAAGAAGAAGAATATTTCTGAAAAAAAAGACTATGGTTTTTTCAGAAATATTCTTAAAAAGCTTTTATGCATCGTATTTTAAAAGCATAATTTATTATAATTCTTACTGATAAATTAGCATATTTTAAGAATGCCTTTCCAATAATAGATATACTTATGTCATTAATCTATGCTTTCCATCTTAGTTCGTAAAAATCTGTTAGTAAATATAACTTTATTTTCGTACTGTGTAATTATAGCTTTCATTTGCATACAATACTGAACTTGTACTTGAAATACAGTATTGTTTTATTTCCGTATTGCTGACGAAAAATCTTTCATGAAACAAACGTAAATTTTACCTTTTTTCTCATTTTAGGTTTGACGAAACAAGAATTTTGATTCCGTGAAGTGAATGGTAAAACAACTTTAATTTCATTAATAGCTTTTATTATAAATTTTCATTTTTAAACAGTTTTTATTATAATAAGTATTCTACAAAATAAAAATCAGAAACGTTTCTGAAATAAAAAGTATTATGAAAGAAGTACAATACTGACCAAAATAATCTGATTTTTCTCTCTAATTTCAAGTTTGCAGTAACATATGCTAGAAAAAAGTATTTTTAGAAGTCGTGAAGTATTTTAAAAGGGTTTATAAATATGTTTAAAGTTTATCTGTAATTTAATAACGGAACCAGAATGTTTGTACAAGAACTTAAAAAAGTTTTTACTAGAAATATATGTATAAGATACAGAGAAAACTTCCAGTTCTGTCGGTAATGTGTAGAATAATATTTCTTGATCATGATTCTGTTCTGTAAAATAAAAGTAAATAAAGATAAAGGATTTTTTTTCTTAAACAGTCTTTCTGTTTAAATATAAATAAGAACCTTATAAATAAATAAAAATATATTAAATCAATTCAGCGGATAATCAAGGACAACAGAGCAAATAGGGGCTCTTACCAAACTCTAAATTAAAAATATTACATAGATATGTTAATAAAACATTAACGGATTCTTATTTTCATCTCATATTGTCAATAAATTATAAGTAATTAATTTGGTCTATAATTTTGATTGAGTTATGCATTCACCAGAGTCATATCTATGTGCTCCAAATATCGCAGATTAACCCTTGTCGTATATCTTCTAGATCCAGTTTAATGTAACTAAAAGCTTTTTAAGAAGAGTTGCAAATTATAGATACAGTCTTTTTAATCTAGTTTTAAGGAAATCATTCTAAAATTTCTTACAACTTGAAATTATTTTCTTTTCATAGTATAACTGCTATTTTAATTTTAAAACATAAACACTAATTTTTTTTCTCATTTTTGTAATTTTTTTAATATTATCTCAAAAGATTCTGAAGTTCACGGAGAGCTAAAAATTATCGGAATCATAAGAAAACTAGTAGCATCATAGAGATTCGATAACCTTGGGAAACAATTATTTTTCTTTCGTTTCTTTTCTTTTTTTTGGCTTGGTGTTGCAGGAGATTTTTTAACAGATCAGGTATTTTCAGATTGCTGATTTAAAATCTACAATCAGTTTCTTTTTCCAAACTACAGTTTTTCTTTAATTACATTTTCAGTCGAAATGTACAAGTTTAAAAGCATTATATATTACATGGGATCATGTAAATGTTGCGACAAACTTTCAGGGGAGTTAGAGCACGCCATTCGGATTAAAATTGCAAAGAAACCCATGTCCGAAAATGTCATCTTTGGCCGCTGAGGACGCTTGCTTCTTATGAACTGTTTCTTCGCGTGAACAGTTCATAATTGGGAAGTGCCCCTAGCCGTATGCGACGACATTTCCGGGCATGGGTTCCTATGAAATATTAATCCTGATGATGTACCCTAACTCCCCTAGAAGTTCCTCGTAACATTTAAGCGACCCCTGTTATATACAATATCTTTAAACAAAAAATAGACAAAAAATGTCATTTAAAAAAATTCTGTATTTTTAGAAACAAAACTAATTTCAGATATGAAATAACCACACCTGAATTAGGCAATATCAAGTATTTGTATAAATGCAAGAAAAATTTTTTTCCCCTGTGTCATTGATTTCAATATAAAAAGACAAGCAAGGTCCTCGAAAAATTTCGCAACTGAAGCGCCAAATATTTCAAAAAACGGCCGCTTGCAGTAAGATCACTAAAAACTTATTAAGATAGTTTAAAATATTGACAACTGCCTCTAGATTTTATAGTGAACACTTACATTTTTAAGGAATGTAATATTTTCATATTTATAAAATACCAATCTATGGTTTCCAAAGTTTGGTACACGCACCTCTTGCAAAAATGTCTATCTCATCAACCAAAATATGCTACCATTGAAAATAGATAATATATATTTAATAAATTTCCAAAATTTTAAAAATTTCATTTTAATTTAAATTTAGTATGATAAAGATCTTACCTAAAAAAACTTATTTCTGAAACTCGAATAAAAGTATCTGCAAATTTTGTTCTTGAAAGAGAAAAAATATATATTTTATAATGTTTAGTAATTTAACAGGTAATTCGACATTCTTTTTAGCTGATAATTTTTTAAAAAAATTGCGTCAATAGTTTTTAGACGGTTTTGAAATTTATCAAAAATTAAAAAGAATGTTAAAAATTTTAAAAGTACTTATCAAAAAACTACTCCCCCTTCTTTTAAAACAAAAAAGGGATACTTTCAATACAATGTAGTTTTTATAAAAAAAATTGAGATCTGCTGGTTAGAACTAATGATTTAAAACAATAGCCCTTTCAGTGCATTATTAAGTTATTCTTGAATGCAACTAACTATTCCTCATAACATATAGGTATACACATTAACAAATAAGAAATTTATATATACCTGGTAATTTATTTTCTCGTCTCTGTATATATTTTTTTATATTTTTTTTCTCAAAATGCAGTCATTTAATCTTTTCTTTAGGGTTGGAAAAAATTATATTTAAGAGAAGAGGAAAAAACCGAAAACTTTTCAATATTTTGCATAACATTATCTGAATAAATCGGAGAGATTAATTTTTTTAAAAACTAATTTATTACATCCCATGGTGCTGAAAGGCAGCTCTTAGTTATAGACCGTTTTTCCATGAATTCTAAAAATAATTAAAAATTCTGAATATTAAAGATGGTGAAATTAAGGATGGTGAATATGAAACATTTTGTGTAAGCTTTCATGCGCAAACACTTTATGAAACATAGTTTTCATAGCATTTTCTTTTGTTTCAGCTCCAGAAGAATATATATTGGTCAATCAGAACATTACTTCCAAGTACTCCAAAGAATATTCATTTTAAAAGGCAAACTTTTGTAAAAACATATTGATGAAACAGATTTACATTATGTTTATGCTTATTTTGAAGCGAAATAGTACACAAATAAATTAATATGAGGAGTTTTGAACGATATACAAACATTCAAACACTTCAAATAATGAAATTTACTAAAACGAATTTTACTACTTACGAAAATTTTTCGTCAGTTTATTGTTCAATTCCATTGCCAAAATATATTTTAAATACAGTTCTGATAAGAAAATCACAAAAGTAAAACCAAACTACGCAATGCATTTCAATGTCAATGTTAGTAAAAAATTTTCAACAGAGATAATGTACAGTACGTAAAAAAAAAAAAAAAACACCCTGAATAAATCTTGATCTAATGATCAGATCTTTGCGCACAGGTCTCTAACTTAATGGTTGGAGGGGCTGGCCTCAAATATGCTAATTAATTAGTGCAGATGATATTTTAAGTTACAAAATCAGACACAAAAACGTACTTTTTCTGAATAATATATTTTTTTTCCCTCGACAAATTTGGAATTCTTACCCTTTAAATAAAGGGAATAGCCGCAATCTGGGAAATATGGTCCCAATAGTTTAGTCAGGAGAGCTGTCCAAAGTTATAAAATTCCTTTATACAAAGACAATTCCACGCAAAAAAAATTTTTAATAATTATTTAAAATTTCATTTAATAATAGTTAAAAGTTTTTGAATGATAAAGTGCCCAAATTTTTACATCATTTTAATAATGTAATTTTAGATGACAAAAAAATAAGAATGAAATCAATCAATTAGTTCCTGAGAAATCTATCTTTAAACATAAGATTTCTTTAAACTTTACGATTTTTCAGGAACTATTCGACTGATTTCATTCAAAATTTGCATTTTGTCACATAAAATTAACATTCTTTAAAATGATGCAAAAATTTTTATACCTTACAATTCAAAAATTTTTGAAATTATTGAGCAAAATAATAAAAAACTAATTATTAAAAATTATTTTTTGTATGAAATTGTTATTGTATAAACATCGCGTGCTAGCATTCGAACATCCGATCATTAGATCAAAAGTTATTCAAAAATTTATTTATTTATTTATTTATATTTTTTCTGCGCTCTGTACAGAGAATTGTTAGAGAAACTGACGTAATACTATTACAATATTTTACTTAATGAAATTTCGGAAAAGATTCATTGATTTCACGTTAATTTTTTAAACTACAAATTAGTAAACGCAAGTCTGCTTTAAATTTATTTATAGAAAAAAATGTATTCTTTTTTAAATTTTGTTTCACCATTATTGGCTTAAGCAAAACCACTCACTCAACGTAAGACATTTTCGTTAAGAAATAAAGTCGTAAATTGAAACTTATGACGAAGCTATTATTAAATAGATTAAAATTATTATTAAATAGAGATTAACCCTTCACACCTGAATTTTTTTGACGTGCTTATTTATGCAAATGAAAAACAACAAAAAATAGACTTTTCAGAAATGAAAAATCTGATTTTGAAATTTCATGAGTTTCCTTCTTTTATTCATGCATATATTTATTTTATTATTTATTTATTTATTTTGAAATTGGCTATGTTTTCGTTCGTTTACAGGATTATGAAATCAAAAGAATTACTAAGTCAAAATATTAAGAAAAAGAAAAAAATAATTTCTAAATTCTGATTGTCACTAACCAACCTCTAAATAACAATTTTTAGAAGAAAAAAAATAGCAAATATATGAAAAACCTCATTAATTTTCAATCAAATGAGCAGCATTCCTATTTAATAAAAAATCCCCTCCCTAAAACCCCCACAGTTGTTCTATCCAAGAAATAAATAGTTGTGAAAAGGGTAAAGTGACACGAATAGAAAAATGTTTTTAAAAAAATCAAAACCATGTATGATATATGCATTAGTAATGAAATAACGTTAAACAAATAATTTTTTTGTGGTAATACAGTGCACAAAATAAAAAATATATCACCGTGAATAACTTTTGTTCTAATGATCAGATTTTCACAAACTTAGTGTCGATCATAATGGTTTAATGGAGCCATCTAAAATTTGTGATTTAAGTAGTTCTAACTACTAATTAAGCTATTGAATCAGACACAGAAACGTACTTTCTCTGAATAAAAATACCTTTTTTTCGATGGATTTAGACCTCTGACTGTCAAAATATGATTGAGATAATGTAATCAACAAAGCGGTCAAAAATTTCAGTCCTTTGATGTTAATTTTCCATCATTATATTTTAAGGAATTTTTTAAACGATTCAAAAAAATTGCACGTAACTATAAAATTCGCTTATCTATACATAATTCAGGGAAAAAATAATTTTTAATAGTTTTTTATTACTTCTTATTATTTCATTAAATAAGGGTCGAATAACATTTAAGTTGTAAGGTATACAAATTTTGTCATCATTTTGAACTATATAATTTTAAAATTGTATTATTTGAAATTAGATACTTTAAATTAGTGTAATAGTTTGCACACCTTATAATTTTATATTTTTCGACCCTTATTAAATAAAATAATAAAAAATATTAAGCATTATTTTTTGCATGGACTTGTAGATAAACTTATGACCTCTGGATAAACGAATTTTGTAAATGTATCCGAAATGTTTTTCGATTCGTTTTAAAATTGTCCGAGATAAAGCAAAATGCACAGAAAATGAAACTAACATCCAAACTTATGACAGCTCTCCTGCCGAAACTATTCAGATCATATTTTCCAGATTGCGGCAACATCACATATTTTGATGACGTTTATTCAAACAAAGCAAATATTCGTATCTTTTACTGTAACTTTATTAATAGTCAGCACTAATTTTTGGCATATTTGAGGTCACCTTTTTGAACCATTAAGATTAGCGCTTAGTTTGTGAAAATCCGATCATTAAAACAAAGGTTATTTAAGGTGATATTTTATTTTGAGCACATTTTAATTTGTATTTTATGCGCATGTGTCAAAACTACTTTTCACAAATTTAGTTACAACATAAAAATAATCAGCAATACTTTAATAACAAAATTAGACCGCTTTAATAATACTTTTTACACAATTATTAAATAGCAAATAAATTATTATTGTGTGATGGGTTATACATTATTGTTAGTTAACAGTTTTTACAATAGTTTTAACAATGAAATTATTATAGTTAAAAAAAATTAGGAAAATAGTTTAGTTAATTATAAGTTAATAATAAAAATTAGTTAATAATAAGAATAAATTTTTCATCACATGACAAAATAAAATGATTCTAAAATCGAAATATTTTTCTGTTTCTTTAAAAAAAATATTTTCTTAATCAGTATTTGTCGAAAGACAGAAATGAAAATGCCTAGAGCTAAGAAAAATAGTTAAAAGGCATTTTTTGCTCAAATTCAAAAAACTGATCAAATTGTGGTAAAAACTTCCCAAGAAATATAATTTAGTAAAATTTTCGGTGTTTTAGTTCTTATATCTTTCTAAGCAAGTTCGTATAACTCAAAATATGAATGCAATACTGAAATAAATATACAATACTGAATAATACAATAATGAAACTAATTTTATGTACAGGTTTATCTGTTAGTCCATCCAAAAATAAGAATGTAAGTTATTATTTTAGAATTAGAAAAATATATTGTAATTTATAATAATGTAAAATAATAAAAGTTCGAGAAAATGTAAGATTAAACAAAGTCAAATTGTTATTTTTTCTAAATAAAGCTTAATTATATTTTTAAACGAAAATAAGTCTTAATAAATAGAAATATACTTATTTATTGAAAGTATCAAGTAAAAAGCAATTGATACACTTAAATAAAGAGTTAATTTTTGTTCATCTTAACAAAGAATAAATGCGGATATTTTTGAATGAAAGTTTGTATTTTCATAATACCATTTATGTGAAAGAAATAAAACTTACACAAAATAGTTATTCAATATCAATTCTCCATTTAAAAGTTATATTTAATCAATTTAGTTTAAACCTTAAGTTTAAATTCATGTATCTACGTGTTCAATGGCTGATTTAAATATTGAATTTTTATTAAAAATATTTTACAGCAGTTTTGATAATGTTTATTAAGTATTATCAAGTTTCAAGTTTTGGGTAAATAATTATAAAGTTACAGTAAACAAATAACGATGTTCTTTTTAAAATTAGTATTTCAAATTAAATATTAGTTTTTTTTAAAAATATTTAAATAAAATTAATAAAACTTACTACAAATAAAGTAAATAAACAATTAATGTACTAAATTGTTTGGTAAGTTTCTAGTCTTGAATAAAAATTTGAAGCAATAATAAAAACAATTTTTTATTTAACATAATTTTCTCCAAATTTTATTTGTATATTATAATACGTTCTAAATTTTTTTTTAAATCTTGCAAAATAGATGTTTATGATTCATATCTCGATAAATATCAATAAGATTTTTTCCATTAGATAACAGTCTGATTAGTTTAATGATAAACCGGATATTTTAGTTATTCATATCCAAGTTTATGTATTTTCTACAATACTTTTCTTAATTTGCAGTATTCAATTATCTTAGATAGAAAAAAATCCTGTCAAAAATTATATACTACTCACTTGTCTCTAAAATCCAATTCATAAAAGGGGAAATACTAATTCAGTTAAAAATAAAAATTTGATGTTAATTATAAATTTGATGTTAGGAAAATATATGAAGATATTAATGAAAAGGTTTTTATTCACTAATTCCCAAGCTATAGTGGAAACTTTACAAACAGTTTAGTACTTAATCACATATATGTGAAAACTTAAGAAAAGACATGTTAAACAAATGAACATGTTACCCAGCTTGTATTTACCAAAAAAAGGAAATAAATGACTAATAGATATGAATATAGCCAAATGAAGAAATTAATATAATTTCTTTAAAAAAACATTGTTGCTTTTGGAAACTAAGTTAAGAAAATCAATGTTATCATAATTTAATATTTTTTTCAGAAGAAATATTATGCCCTATGATACTTCTATTCTATATATAAAACTAGATGTGATGTTCTATAGTACGAAAAATTCTCTTGATATTTCAGAAGAAATCAATTGTTCATCTAAATAAGACATTTCTAAATCAAAATGATAAATTAAGAA